AGGATAGTTTACAAGCTTTCTGGTGCCATGCAGTGCCACTAAAATTATTTCTGTGTGCACATATACAGTATTTAAGATAATTATACCAAAGTAGATTTAATGTTACAGTGTCTTTACATATTCATATGAATATACTATTGGTAAATGACTCTTTAAAAATGTTTACATTAATTTACTGTCAACAATATTCTTTACCAAAAAGTCCTATAGGCAGACATTCTAGTCATTCAGGTTTCTTCTTTTGTAAATGATGTTCTTGTCTTTAGCCTATAATTTGTTATGGGATTGTGTTTTTCTGAATTTATTTTTTGTTCTTTATACATTCTTGATATCACTCCATTGTTACTTAGATTAATTAAAAGTAGTTTTTTTCTGGACAGTGGTTTATCTTTTTATATTCCTCATAGTTTTATTTTTAACTTTTGCTGAAAACTTGGATTCAGGAGATATTGCAGAGCATCATCTTTTTTGACAAATAACAAACAAAACAAACTGACCAAAAATATATATATACTAATCTTACCAAGTTCTTGTAACTATTGATGATTGTTATGCTGGGTTTCTGGTAACAAGTATATTGTACTGTGTGTACTGTGTGTACTGTACTGCATGTCTGAGAGTTCTGCGAAAAGGGATTTATTGTAAACAACCTATCTTTAAATTGGGGACATGCAATCTTTTAACAAAAGATAAATGACAAAACAGGCATCACAGAAATTGCAGACTTAAATCAATAAATAAAAACTGAAACTCATCCAAGCCATCCTCAAATAGCAAAATGAACAAAGAGTATTTAAAAATTCCAAGAGAGGGTACTCCCTGGTGGCACAACAGATTCAAGCGTAGCACTAAGAAGCTGGCCACAACTGCTTCACCACTTGGGGTGGCAGAGTTCTCCAGCCTAGCCCGCTGCTCCTCTCAGTAGCGTACTTCGCCAATCTGCCTGTTCTGCTCCCCGCTCTGTCTCTAGTGCATCCTCACAGCGCCCCTGCACCTCTGGCTGTACCCCAGTTCTGTACGCATATGTAAATAAATCTCTAGAAAATTCCAACGGAAGATAAAATTCAACATTTGCATATAATTTCTGCATATGCTTGCTGGATAACATGAAAACATCATCACATTTCTCACTACCAGTAGAAAGTATAATTTTTTTTAATAACTGAATTTATGTTACAAACATTGGTAAAAGAAAGTATGTGTATGATTTTTCTCAGACTGCCCACTCTCTGTGCTGACCCATGCCTACGTTGTGCTCTGGCTACAAACTATTTCACCGTAACACTGAGACCCCACACAAGCCAAACTCCCAATTATTTGCTGCAATGGAACATTTCCCAAGAGACGCCCCGTTAATGAGGGCTGCAGAGACCAGAGACCGGCAGATAAGAATAAAGAGCGCTCCCAGAGACAGACCGGCATCTGCTTTCACCCTAAAGGGTGCTAGGCTGGGCACTCTGGCAGTCACCCCTCGTCATTATTCCAAGCTCCTAGGAATTGACCGGGTTGGAGCACGTGCAGGAAGTTTTAAATCAAAGAGAAAGGTGCCAAGAGAAGCCCCATAAATGAGGAGCGAGGAAACCAAACGCAAAGCATACGGGGGCTCACGCAGATACTAGCCCACATCTGCTTTCACCCTAAAATTCCTGGGCTCGGCACTCTGGCTGAGGTACCCCGCATCATTCTGCAGGGTTCTGAACACTCGGGGACCTTAGAATGAGAGCTGCAACCGTGGCTCAGTTGAGGGAGCAATTCTAGGACCTGGCAAAGCCAATGTGAGAGGTGTGAGCAGGGACGATCACTTCCACTCAGGAACACAGCCGCGTGCAAAGCCTTGACCCTGTTGTTGACTCTAGGGCATCAGGGACGGGGGGCGGGGGGCGGTAGCCGGATGTCACGCCCCCTGACTTCCTCTTCGCCATTTTAAGAGCACACAGCCCTTTGTTCTGAACTGGTCGGAAGTGAGCACGTGCGGTACTGCAAGTCAGGTATGATTTTAAAGGTGAACTGAGACTTTTCACCACAGAAAAGAGCTGGGCCCCTAGATAAGAACCCCAAACCACCCTGGGGAGACTCCGGTGGGGAGGTTAAGTCAGGCTGGGGTACCGTGCGCTGCCTGTGGTGATCTGATTGCAGCGAGTGCGTGTGGCGTGGAGCGGGCGCCGGAGAGTAAAAGGCTCCAGAGCTGGCAGAAGTCACGAAAAGGCACCCGAAAACCTTATCAGTTGATAATTTACTGATTCTCAACTGGTTGCCAGCCCTGGGGTTCCCGAGCCCGTGACGGCCGGACATGTTGCTGATTTGGACATTAGAATTTGAGGGACGTGAGACTTTCATCGGAGAAAAACTGTTTCATGCCCGAAAAGGAACCAAGTCAGGGGTCCGGCACAAATCCCAGTGAGAGCCCCATTTTAATTCTTGGGGTTCTGCTCACCCCCAAAGACCCAGGTGGTGGCATAGCGTGCTGTCTGGCTCCTTTTGTAACATAGTCAGTGCTGAATGTACTGTGCATTGTTGTTGCTCTCCTTTCTGGGGCTTTCAGAGAAATGGGGTCTTGGTGGAGCCTCCGTTAATAAATAGCGGTAGGTCTCCTAACAACCAGTTACCTATTTGAGGACCTCTTTCGAAAATGTGGGTCTAATCAACAAATGATACAAGGGGGTAGAACCCTTCCCCTTTGCTAGCCCTGAGAGGACCAAGGAAAGGTTGGGCGACGGAGACGGGGCCTCGGAAGTGAGAGCTTTCTTCTGAATATAATGTGTTAGTTATCAGAAAGTGTCCCAGGCCCTGGCAGGTTTCTTTCTTGTGTGGAAGCAAACACGCCACATGAAATTTTCCCAGTATTTCAGGGAACTCTTAGCAGGTCCAGGGCGGCGTGGCTAGATGAGATATTTCTACTCCATAGTGTTTATTGAGATGTGAGAAGTTACTGTGGGCAGGAAAACTCAAAAGGTTTAAGTCCTGGGTATTGACAGCTTTCAGTGAAAGGTCCCAAGCTAAGACTCTCCACCACATACTTCTGAACATAATGTCACCATGAAGTTCTTTCCTGGCCCACATTCTCCTACTTAAAAATATATTGAAATAGCATTGGTTTATAACATTACTGTAAGTTATTAATGTGGCTTTCAGGTACATATCACTATAATTCAGTATCTGTGTGTTACATCATGATCATCTCCAAAACTCTGGTTTCCCTCCACCACCATACCATGACGTTATTTACTCTGGAATGTAAGGTTATAACAGAACCCTGGTACCTGTGTTTAGTATTTTAATTATGTTTATTGAGGTTAATTTTGATTTACGGCACTGTTACAGGTGTATAAGTTCACACCTCTAGACGTTTATGTTATCACAGCACACCGACCTTCAGCCCATAGGACCCCTTCCCTACTTTACTCTCTTCTACCCTGCCCTTCTGGGAGCCTCAGCCCTGAAGTCATATTTCCAGGGTTTGTTTTGTTTTATTGTTGTTTCTTTGCTTTCTTTTTCATATTCCCCATGTGAATGAAACCACCTGGTATTTGTCCCTGGATCCCAAGGGCAAGGAACTCATGGAAGGTTGCCTACTATTCCCCTCTTGGGGCTTTCAGTTAATTTAGGTGTTTTTTTTTTTAAAGATTTATTTATGCATACAAGAACTGGGGTACAAGCCAGGGATACAGGGGTGAGAGCAGTCACCAGTGACAGAGTGGGAAGCAGAACAGGCAGACCTACTGAAATAGACTGCTGAGGGGAGCAGCTGGCAGGACAGGAGAGGTCTGCTCTGCTATGTGGTTCACCTCCCTGGCCAGGGTTCTGACTCAGGCCTCAATGGCTGCGGATAGCTGCATAGTACTGCACTTTAACCCCTTGTGCCACCAGGAGGGCCCATTTAGGTGCTTCTTAATGTAAACCATATCACAGTAGCTCAGCAGAGGAAGGAGCCCAATGCCTGTTAATAAATAGTAAAGTCGAAAGCCTGAGTGGAGTCAGAGAGGTCTACCCACAGCAGAACAAATGGAGATCTAGAGTATCAGCTACTACTGTTCGCCCAGAGAAGTCCCAAAACAGCCAGATGGTGTCCTTACTCTCTTCTTTCTCAGATGACTCAGGAAAATAAGGGAATCTTGTATAGTGGGTTGGCATCAGACATTAGAGTGGTCAAATGTGAGATGCCGCTAGCAGCCAATGAAGTGACCTTGAGTGAGTAATGAGGGACAGATCACTCCAGCAGTAACAGGAGTCTGGCCATAAACTTGTCAGTGCTGAGAAGTGAGACTGTCCATTGGGTGGGACCACTCTTACTCCTTCCAGATCAGGAGGTAAAGACTTTGTTCTGAGGCGCACTGTTAGTATCAAAAGAAGAGGTTCCAGGAGTTGCTTGGATTTAAAGTAAGACAACTGAGACCTATACTGCAGTTCTTGTATGCATAAATAAAAGTAAATCTTAAAAAAAAATAAAGTAGAACATTTGAGTGAGAAATGGGAAGATACCCAGCACCAGGATAGTGTACACAGAATGTAGCTCATGCTGTCAGCCTGAATACCCAGGGCAGATTTCAGAAGGAGCTACCTCATATTCCCTGCTCAGTTTTCCTGGAAGGTGTGATTTCACACTTAGAGGAACAACCTCATATTAGCATAGGGAGGGACCCCAGGCCTACCTATTGCCAAAATAATGGAACCAAGAGAGGAAATGACACTACCTACTTCATAATAGAAATGGCTGTACTGGGCCCAACCACAACTACCTATTATGATCCTAGAGAATTTTGACCTGGGTTGACTTAGTGCTCCCTGAGAAACATTTAGGCTGCTTCCTGTTCTTGGGGGACAAAGCAGTCAAGAGGTCAGAAGACATGTGAGGCATGGCTGTCAGAATTCCACTGGAGGTGGCTTTTTAACAGAGATCCCTCCATTTGGATTTTAGCTGAGGTCACTCACATCTGCCTTCTCTCCTTTAGGCAGTGATTTCCCACCCACGTTCCTATCTACTGTCTACTGCCAATATAGCCATGCCTCGGCATAAGAACCCAAGATCCTCAGATGATAAAAGTAACCAGGCCCACAGTAGCAACCATAGCCTGGAGGTTGCAGAGGTCATTAAGGCATTGGAAGAGAATTCCCTCTCATGCCCTTCTCTAATTCCTGAAAAGTCAAAAGAGGATCCTGAAATTGGTGTGGCCAATATTTCTGAGGGATCTCAGAGTCTCACCCTGGCCACTTTACCAAGCAAATCAGATGAGAGCTCCACTAGCCAGGAGGAGGAGCAGATTTTGAGCACCTCACAGGCGGAGCCAGACCCCAGAAATGTGCCCATAGATGTTCTAGATGAGAAAGTGGCGATGATGGTGGATTTCATGCTGCTCAAGTATAAAGTGAAAGAGCCAATAACGAAGAAAGAAATGTTGAAGACGGTCATCAAAGGATATAGAAGCCACTTCACTGCGCTCCTGCTGAGAGCCTCCGAGCGCATGGAGATGGTCTTTGGCCTTGATGTGCAGGAAGTGGATCCTGTCAACCACCACTATGCCCTACTCATCAAATTGGGCCTCACCTATGATGGGATGATGAGTGGTGAAGAGGGCGTGCCCAAGACCGGCATCCTGATTCTTGTGCTGGGTGTGATCTTCATGAAAGGTAACCGGGCCTTTGAAGAAGATGTCTGGGAAGTTCTGAGTTTAACCGGTGTTTATCCTGGAGTGAAGCACTTCATCTTTGGCGAGACAAGGAAGCTCATCACCAAAGATTTTGTGAAGGAAAAATACCTGATACACCAGCAAGTTGCCAGCAGCCGGTCTGCAAGATCTGAATTCCTATGGGGCCCAAGAGCATATGCGGAAACCACCAAGATGAAAGTTCTGGAGTTTTTGGCTAAGGTTCTTGGGACTGACCCTACTTCTTTCCCATCTCAGTATAAGGAAGCCTTGGAGGATGAAAAAAAGAGAGCCAAGGGCAATAATTCAGCCATGGCTAAGTCTCCTTCCATGGCCAGTGCCAAGTTTAGCAGCTCCTCCCACACTTAGGCCAGTTCAGAGTAGTTTCTTCATGTATTGTTTGAAGAGATAATTAGTGTTCTTAAAATTTATCTGGACGTGTGGTTAATGGGAGTACAACATATATGCCTTTGTTTTCCTGTTTTATATAAGTAACTTGAAATATTTTTCTTGTATGTTTTGACATGTTATACAAATATTGTTTCTTTTCATCTAGATTACAGTAGCTTCAATATCTTCAGATTCAAGGATGATATGGTTTATATAGGGAGTGCTGCAATGTGGTAAATATTAGGAGCTTTGTGGTTTGGTAAATCAAATTGTGAAACATGTATCTTGCTTTGTCATATACAATAAGATAAGGTGGTATTATGCATTTGTTGGGAAAGAGAAAGAACTTTAAAATAGTCAGGATCAATAGAAACAAGTGGTAGAGAAAATACTTAAAATCTTTGCTTCTCCCTTTTAATCCTTGTTCTGTAAAGTTGAATTAATATACTTAGACTACATAGCTGTTTCAAGACCTGTGTGAGAAATAAATCTTAATAAATTACTCATCAGATTTGTTGGGTGTTTTATTTCCTAAACCTTAATTGAACACCTGCTCTTTGGTAAGCACTGCACTATTACTGGGAATGCTGGTATTAATGACTGAGCTCTAACTCATAGTATTTTACCAAATAGGGGTTATGTCATTCTGTATAGACTCCTAATATATTATAGACAAGTAAGAAGATGGTGTGAGTGGGTATAGGTGAACAGCTCTTTCCATGATACTATAAAAGTGTTAATGCAGCTCAGTATGGCAGGTGAGGCTTTTGGAAACTTCGAGTGCTTCAGTGAAAGTTAATTTGACATTCAGGCAAGATGGGGAACTGGAGGAGGCTGAGAGCATAGTGAGAAGGGACCAGACTCCCAGGTAATATGTGTCAGACTTGAACCCAGAAACCCAGAGGGGGGATAGCTATTGCCAACTGTTGCTTTTGTTGCTCAGAGTGGAATTCTTAGCTACAGTAAGAATGAAAGTTGTCCTGCAGTTTCATCTTGGCGTAGTTAAACACAGTGAATAAACTGGGTGATGTTAATGTCATCTCTTAAAAACATTCCAGAAATACAGATGTTGCTCTCTTAAAGTTAGATATCCAGAGGCCACTGCATTCATGACCTAGAAGAGCTATTGCCACTTTATTCAAAGGAAAATTTATTTATGTGATCTTTCTGTGTAATTTGACAAATAGTAAGTAAAGGTTAAATTTTAGGTGCAAAGAAATTAAATAGAAAGTTTGCCAATGGTTGGACAAAAGGTTTTGGGGAGGAAAAAAAAAAACAATTTTCTCTCCTAAGTTTAGTAACCTCTGACCCTTATAGTAAAAAAGACTACAAGAGAAAAATTTAATAACACACGTAGGAGGGCTCAAGAAGATACAAATTTCAAAGGAATAACCAAAGCAGGAAGTGTTTATCAACAAAAAATTGTTAAAAATCGACAAGATTGAGTGTTTGGGTGTGGAGTAGAAAAGATGAACAGCTTTGTTCTTATACCTAAATCCCCTGTATCTGCTTAGAAAGGTGCTTTCTACCCTCCTGGTACAGGGAGAGTACATTTCATGTGGGAGATTGACCTTAGAATTTCTGAAAGACATTAAATATCGGTCTTACAATGGCTACTTCTCAAGTACCTTTAATTCCAAATAATAGGCTAAAGTGGCAAGGTTTGGACTGACAGTTGTAAGCAAGTCAAGGAGTAGGGCCTTGGCACAAATTTTGGGGAATGAGCATTACAACCATGAATTCCCACACACAAAGAATGCGAACTAGGGGTAAAATTCAAGTTTTACCTACTGAAAAACTTGTTTTGATATGCCATATCCTATGGCGTTCTATATCATTTTATATTCTTTGAGAAAGTCTAGATTTAGAGAACGTAAATACAAACACACAGTGAGGTTGTTAGTACTTGGGACCAGCTATCATGGCAGTAAATTCCAGTCACTACACTCCTAAAATATTCCAAGTGTGTGCCATGTATTTTATGTGCTTCACACACATCCAGTGGTCCTAGAAGAGGGAGTTTTCAAACCAAGTTCACATATGTCAAGAGTTTGTGATTGTCACCTGTTTGACATCCCTGTTGTGTGACAGGCTAGGATTCAACTTACCCTGAATTTATCTAGAGTCCATTCTTCCCAACCAGAGGAAGAACTTTTGTCTCTTATTTTTCTTCCTACTACTTCATACCTGTACTGGGGCCCGTGAAAAAAGTCCCCCACCCAACACAATCTGGGTTCTTCTAAGACTAGACAAACCAACAAAATGACACCATGAAGATTAGTAAGACAAAGAACAAATTTAATAACAGGTATAGAGGATTTATATGGTTATAAATTCTAAAGAAGAATGATAACCAGTCTGTTTAATCTGTGTTCAAGACTGGAAGCATCAAAGAGAAGGGGAGGCTTCAAATGAAGGAAAAGGAGAGGATGACTGAATATTTTCAGTCTCTAAGTAAAGATGAGATTCTCAGACATGTCTGTTCTCTCATAAAACTATACCCTCATCTATCCCTCCCCTCAACTACATTCTTGTGTAGTTGTGTAGTTGTGTAGATTGTGAGAGCGCTGAATCCTAACCACTAGACCACCAAGGAGTCATTCTTGTAGATTATAAAAGGGGAGCAAAAGACAAAATGGTCTTTAGGCCTTAACTGCTGTTCAAATAGTCTGCTTTCTTAACAATAGCAACACACTTTTCCTAGACTCACGGATCTCAACTCGCCTTTAGTTCATATTAAGGTGACAACCACTAGACGTTTATTAGAAAGTCTCTAGGAATTTTGAGAAAAGCCAGTATGCCCTTTTTGGGGAGACTCACCCTGTAACTCATAGACTATTAATAATGTTGCAGCAAGTAACTTTGAGCAAGTATAAAGCTGATTGGAACGAAGTGTACAACACAATTTTCAGATTGTCTGTGGGCTTTGTTTACTGAATTCACCTAATTCTCTAGCCCTGTTTTTCCTTGAGAGCTGACTCCATACGGGGTGGCATTTCTGTCCATCCCAGTGTTGTGCCCATGCCCTCCTGAACAAACTGGGCCTGACTTGTTGGCAAGGTTTACTCCTATGAAAGCTCATCTTGGTCCCAGAACAACAAAGGTAAAAAATGACCTGTCTTTTTCCTGACAGAGCATTGCAGCTGCTTCGTGGTTCTCCAACTCCTCACCGTGAAACCCTGTGATAGGGACATCTGGTTCCAAATAAAAGGAAATTTAGATGTTGATATTTTGTCTTATCCACCCCTTGGGAATTTACACCACCACCTTAAAATGTTTTGCAAAAGATAATGCTTCATATAGTCTGATTTGTCATAAAATCTACTAATTTGAGGGTTGTGACCAGTGAGGTTGGAAATGAAATTTTGAAACCTCTGATATTTGCAATATAATTTTATATATATATATATCAGCTTGGTTTTTTTTTATTTTTTTTAGATTTATTTATTTGTACAGACAGAACTGGGGTACAGGCCAGAGGCTCAGGGGCAGTGAGAGGCTTCACCAGAGACAGAGTGGGGAACAGAACAGGCAGATCAACGAAGTACACTGCTGAGGGGAGCAGCGGGTTGGTCAGGAGAGGTCTGCCACACCATGTGGTCACCTCCGGGGCAGGCGGGAATCGAACTCATGCAGAAGTGGCTTTAGATTCTCAGTGCTGTGCTTTAACCTGCTGTGCCACCAGGGAGGGCCCATTTGCAATGTAATTTTAATGAAGTAATTTTTATGACTGGGCACTAAACGCATATACTTCAGAGTTTACCTATTCTATGTGGTTCATATTCAAAGTTTCCCTCGAGCAGACGTGAGGAAAGATCAAAGCCCATGGAAATCAATGCATAGCAAACAACTTTTGCGGATTAATTTACTAAAATCCTCAGAGTCCCTCGAGGTGAAAAGGCCATTTACCAACAGAGGTATTTTTGGTATCAACAATAAAATTTCAAAGTCCCTTTTCAGCTTCTTTTCTCACTACTTCACCCAGGAGAAAATTTTGTTGTTTCCCTTGTACAAATGGCACCTATAGACGTGTTTAGGACATTCGTTCATTTAGGTCACAAAAATTCACAAATTTTGACTAGGCACTAATAGGAATAAGAAAATCATAATCCAATTAGGAATTTAGAAATTGCGTAGGTCAGTACAGAAAAGTAATGAGTGAAGAAAAACCTTTCTGATAATGTTTAACTAGATCCTTTAAAAACATTTTATGGGAGTTTGTGGTTGGATGCAACACACTTGTAGTTGGATCTTAAAAATGTTAAGGAATTGCAAGAAAATTTGTCCTCAGAAATTTTCCCAAGAAATATAGAACACGGTTAAACAATTCTAACAGTTGCATGATAATTAAGCTCCTTTTATGTACCAATTTATGGGGAAACTGCAAGTTCTTATCCATGCCTTGGTTCTCCTTACTGAGCCCTTGGGAGGCACTTGAAGTTAAAGGGGTGATATGACAAGCCCCTGAAATTGTTCTTGAGTAGAGGCAATGCCAAGCTTCTCAAATTAAATTTCAGTACACATAAAAGACTGGCACAGCAGACTCCTGACCCACCCGCTGTGCCTGCCCCTTAGCAGTGTGTTTCAGTCCATCTGCCTCTTCTGCTCCCCACTCTGTCTTCTACCCCCACACTTCTGGACCATACCCCAGTTCTTGTATGCAGTCTTTAAAAAGGATACTGTGTTTATAGTATGAACCTACACAAAACAAACAGCCCCATTGTCACAACACAGAAGGTCTACCAATCCACTGGTAAAATAAACGTTTAATGTATTAAGTTCTTCATATTTCAGGTTTTGTTTGTTTTATCATTGGACAGTGACATTAAAAAATTAAGCTTTTATATTTAAGTAAAACCACATTTACTTAGGTATAACAGTAAAAATTTTGCTATTTAGATATAAAATTAGTAGATTTCCCGATGTATTTATGAGTGTTAGGCATGTAACCATAATATTCATGTAACTACCACTGAAAT